AAAAACATCACCGCAGTGGGAGGACAAAGAAAGGCAAAGAAACGCCCCAAGGACCAGAACTACGGGTACACACCGAAACATGTCAGGAGTGAAGGGTTGGGCGAAGATGGGAAAAGCCGGGATAAATTTGAATCCACTTCAAACTTCAAAATTCATCAGACACCAACCCGTTGTGGTTTTAATCGTTTCATTAGGTACTTTCTTATTGTTCACTTTGTTTCTCACCTTACTTACATAAACACCCAATACTCCATGCTCAAGCATGTGACTATTTCTAGTCCGCAGTCCCTCCAACAATTCCCGGTGTCTCTGTAAAGGCGGTCCGCTTGACGGCGCCCTGCTCATCGCGTCCAAGCAAAAAACTCTCGGGAGGTCCCAAGTACGACTTTCTCACACCACCAAGGTCAACCACAACTTTTTGCACGATAATGTTCGGCAGAAGCGCCCACACGCGAAGCGTATACGCGCCCTCCTGCGTCACGTTAAAAGACGTTGTCGTATAGTTGCCGGTGAGTCCCCAGACCGCATCCCCCACGGCATAGCCCCATCCATCCGGCATGTTCTGCCCCTGCGTCTTGCCCACCGGTTGCACTGTCTTGGGCTGCGGTGCACTTCCACCGGTCGGGTACAGCGAGATGCCATACTCGAGAGGGTTGCCATCCCCGAGATAGTTGGATGTGGGTGAGATGTACAGCGTGACGTTGGCTTTGCTGGTGTTGCTGAAGAGGTACATTTGGTACTCCAGCGCCGGTCCCTCACCCAGCTTGACCTTCTCCGACTCGGGCGGATACAGTCCAATCCCACCCAACGTGCGCCCGTAATTCTCAAACAAGTGATACTCGAGTTTGCTGCTGCTGTTGCTCGACCCGGCAGAGTTGCTGGGCTCAATGATGTTCTGGTAGTGCGGTCCTTCGATGGAAACATGTCCATCAGACTCAACAAAACCCTTGGTGAAGTTGGACGGCACGGCCCGGTTGACAACAGGCACGATGACTCTCTGTCCTGATCCAGCGTACTTTTCTTTGCCTTTGCACGGCGTCGTAACATTGATGTACACTTGCGTCGCGTTGGGAGCTGTCGGCGCATTCTCCCAGTCGATCGAGATCCAGACACGACTGTCCGTACCATTGTTGCCGCCAACCGTGCCATTATACTGGGAGAGCTTGACCCAGGGCTGCCAAGGGCTGGCCGTCCAAGGGCATGCAGTATTGCCACGGGTAAACACCTCAAAGTAGCGCGAGATGGCCCCGTAGGGATCCAGTGGGGGCACGGCGAGGTCGTTGGCGGAGTTGGTGTGCCACTTGTCGTCACCTTGAACGCTGGCGTTGGACCCCTCGACGCCGACACCAATCTGGCCACCCAGAGATGGGAAGGCTGTCTGAACATAACGCATATCTGGGAGCGTGTTACGCATGGGCTGTTGCCAGTAACCATCATATCCGAGGTGGGTTTCTGTTGCGCGTCATATTAGCACCCTTCACAACAGAAAGAGCTTTTGGTTCTTCAACTCACGATCAAGCATATGCTGCCACTTTCCGTCGAGCAGTTCATCCCATCGGATAGTCAGCTCGGCGTCCGCATCGAGTAATTTCCTGGACTCGTCGATGATATCGTTTGCCAGGTTGCGCTTCTGTCCTGCAAACAGCTGGTTCTTCGCACCGTTGATCTGGATCTTGTGCAGGATCTCGCCAGCCGAAATGGGATGCAAAATCATCTCGAAGAAAGCCGCCTGATATTCCTCAGCGAGGGCATCGTAGACGGCTTGAGCTTGCTCGCGGAGGGTGGCCCACTGGCCCAGAACCGCGTCTGCCTCGTTGTAGTTGATGACTGAGTATGTGTTTGGCTCAACCAATTCGTACTTTCTGCGAGCAGCGTACATGCCATACCGCGTCAAAATGTCCGTGATGTTGCCTGCGTGGTCGCCGCCAAACTCTCTGGTTGCCCAAGCCTCGAGCCACTTGCCAGTGCCGTCAACCCCCCACTTCTCGGTGTCATAGGCGAGGTCGAAGAAGTGACTGATGGGAATCTCGAGCGGCTTCAAGTCACCGACGTTGACAATCCAGATCCTGCGCGCATTCCGGGCATACGCCAAAGACATCTGCTCCGCCGTCTTCTCCAGCTGAATCGTGTTGATCCACTTGTAGTCGCGCGGGTCACCGACATAGTCAAAGTGGTAGTAGACACCGGCACCACCGCTCCGGTCAGTCTCGTTTACCAGTGGTAGCCTTCGGACATTGCCCCAGTTGTCGTCAGCCCACAGTAGAGTGATGTCCTCGGGCACGACGAGGCCCTTTTCTTGGTACGACTGGACCTCTTTGTAAAGGCACCACAATGACGGAACCTCCGAGGCACTGTCGATTCCAAGTCCCTCTTCGATAATCGATCGCTGATTGGCCACGAGCTCCTCTAGCATCTTGACGATGCCTTCGACTCCCAAGTTGCCCTCAATAGCGGTATCACCCGTGCCGCGCATGGCCATCGTCCACAGGCTGTTGCGAGCGTAGGGCTTGGCACGCTGCACGCCGTAGCGGAAGTAGTCGTCAATGGTCTTGTTGTTGAGGTTATAGGCCCATTGGCCCTGGTAGAATGTTCTAAACTCGTTTTGAGCGCGCATGAGAGGCTCGGTATGAGAGCCACCGAGAACGACTTCGTATGCGTCGAGGAGGGGTTGGTTTAGCGGGTCGTCGACGTAGACCATGCTTCCCCAGAGCGTAGGCCAGAGGTAGTTGGCACGGAGACGCAGGAGAAGCTCGCTGACGAGACTGTAGAAGTGGTAGTTGTACCCTGCGGCATTATTCCAGGTGTCGTTCCATTTGGTTCTTTGGGCATGTTAGCCTTTTTCTCCCCAAGAGAATGGAACTGACTTACGAAACCCAGCTGGACAGACCAGGCTGCTCATCGTTGATGAAGAAACCACGGTACTTGACCGCAGGAGATCCTTGGACCTTACGTTCGGGCAGAGCGTAGATCTCAGTCGCTTTCTTGGACGGCACATCGGCCCAGAAGTACCATGGGCTGACCCCAATCTGCTCGCTGACGTCGTAGATGCCGTAGATGGTGCCTCGAGGGTCACTACCGGCAATGACAAGGGCCCGGGAGCATCCCGGAATGGGCTCGTCGATCAGTTGGCTGACGAATGACTCCCATTGTCCTTCAATCTCACTCGTATTGAGTTTCTGGGCCTTGATGAGGCTGTCAATGACCTTTGAATGACCAATGGTGCCGACGATGACAACGGTGCGATCGGGGGCTGGATTGGTGTAGTTGGGACCGGAAAATGACTGTTCGTCTAGAACTCGGTACTGTGGTCAACGATTAGCGACCATCCTCTCTTTAAGGAAACGCTCTCCAGAGCGACTCAGACCACTTGGACTGCGGCACAGGAAGGAGACTCACAACGGTGTTATTGGTGACATCCACTGGCGAGAAGGTGTAAAGAGCAGGCTTGGAGCTGTTTCCGCCATTGCTGAGCGTATAATTTGTGCCGGTGACCCGACCAAAATCCAAGGCTAGGTCGCCTGCTGCCCGAATGACGCCCCAGTAATCATCGTCTGATACGAGAATTTGGCCTGTTCCGACATCTCCTCCGGCAATCTGGAAGCTGCCTGAAGCACTCTCGAATGAGACGATCGGCTGTTGTCCCAATGCCGAGATCAAAGGTGCCAGGCTCGATAGGACCACAAGGGAGATTGACTTGAGGTTGACGAACGCCATGACTGCGGGCTTGTGAAGCTCACGCTCCACTTGTACAAGAACAATGTCACGGACAGACAGGAACCAGCATCATTGAGAGGGAAGGGCTACCGCTTTTATTAAATACACAAACGAGCATCCAATAGCGCGCGCAAGTGCTTCAGTCCTCGGATCAGGAACGGTTGGAGACCCCAGACCAGGATGACGCTTCCATGGGGAAATCAGATTGAACAGGCATGGCAAGGTGGGATCGACTGATGGTACGGGGCATGAACGAACGAACGAACGAACGAACGGCACCACAAGCTAGACAAACATGGAGAACCACCAATAATGGCACGAGAACGGCCTTCATGAACGGCCGGGGACGGATGACACCAGCTAAGATGGGATGACGGTTCTTGGCCGACGGGTAAAAGGGACCACTTCCTGGGTCTCCATGACAGGCCGGAGCAGAGGCCGGCGAGGTTACGAGGCATGCTCAGTAGAGAAGAGATGGTCATCCTCGATACGGGCGAGGGACACCCCAGCCTCCAAAATGCTTGAGTCGAGCTTTCCCCGCAGCGCGGCGCGGCCGGGTCCTCGAAGCGAGCGGCTTCCAAGACTCTTTTACCCCACGCCCGGCTTTGTTTGGCCACAACTTGCTCAAGAGCCGGTGCCGTGTTACGGTAGTGTGCTTCTCTTGAGTACTCTGAAAGACCCTTTGCTTTTGCTTCTTCTTCAAGCAAGTTGATTACACGCCAGATTGACCAGATTTTCTCAACTTACAATATCAAACAGGCCAGAGTTCGGAGACATTGAACTAAACGCAGACAAGATAGAAGAACTGCCTACCCCAAAAAGCAATCAGCCAGCTAGTTGCATGTAATTTGGAGATTTCTTGATCCGCGCGTGATCTCACGGCAAAAGTCACTGCGGGGAACAAACTAGTTGTGACATTGGAAGTGGAGAGTTGCATTTAGCCGCAAAGTGAACATGATCCCGGCCGCCACCAAAAAAACTCGCCTTTTTAGCAACTTTGGTCCCCCAGATTACCCGGCCACCCTAGTCTTGTTAAACAAAGTGGCAAGGAAGCCATCACCATGAGTAGCCCGACCGTTTGGGTTCGTGATGTGAATTGGAAAACTTCGGCACGTCTTGCCGTCCCCACACAATCAACTGTTCATGTCTACGGAGTACTGCGTACACGCATGTAAGGTACTTGCTCAAACGCGTCACCACTCACGCAATCCCGGCCATCTCATATCGAGCGGGAAGAGGAGCATGGAAGCAACAACATCATACTTTTGATCCTGTTCAGCAAATACCTAATCTGCCTGGTTCACGCCAGATCGATAATGGACCTTGAATATGTACGCAGAAGACGAACCTCGAGAGAAGGAAACCTCGTCGATCTTTCTGGGTTCCGCCTCGATCCAGATACGATGTGTGATGACAGTCCCGTACTGAATAATGGTTGCAGACTTGGGCATCAAATTCGACTTGTACAGGCCTGATTGATCCGTGAATCGACACATCATGTAGTCGCGAATCTCCGACAGTCTCTCCTCAGCCTTAACGCCAGGGATCACCTGTGCGTATCTCATCAGCAGCTCCGATTCGGTCCCTTCGACCGAAAGCTCGTCAAAAAGTGCCGCCCACGGTCGACAACGCGAGCCATCCCACTGAAGGCCACAGATGATGCCCAGGGTAACCTTCTGTAATGGAAATCCGAATTGGATCTTGAAACAATGCGTCCCAGCGAAATTGTCGAGCCCGTGGCAGTCAAAGACAAAGTCTGCGACGGAGGATCGCACGCATGCCTCCACGGGGTTCGCTGTCTTGGAGATAATCAAGTTTTTGAGCTGCGAGTCGTACTCGAATCCGATCTTGGCTCCCATGAAGGACGCCAGCCGCGTCGTTTCGTGATCGTATAGCGTCTTGCGGATACAGGCATCAAATGTGTCCAGCGTGGCATTAGACCATTGTAATCTCGAGTTGTATGCATACACCTGATCTGGAACCGCTCTAACAAACGTCGTTCCGACCTTGAGTAGCCAGATTGCAAGCCATTTGGGGGTCCCTTGCGTTCTGACACTGGTTTCGAGACAATCAAGACTCAATGCGTAGAACGCGTCGGCATCGTTCGCCGCTTCCGCAGCGTCATTCGCCGGCAGCCTGAGCTTTTGGGCCTTGACTTGGAGACCGTTGTTGGTGAGGGTAAAGTCGTTCCTGAACTGAAATCGATCTCGGTGTCTCATGAGGGTAGAGCAGTATGTAAAGTCTGCTGGAGACTCTGCGAATACACCACTGAGCCCTGGAGCTGAAGCCGCTTGGTAGTCGATCTTTTTCTGCCACGCAAAAAGGCTCAAGTCGTTGGTCTCATTGGCGATGTGTTCTTGAAGTCTTTGAAATGCTTTTGATCCCTCGCCATATAGCAATGGCATATTGATATCAAAAATACCAAGGAGGCAATAGGCAATGTCCTCGACTCTTGTGGTTTTGCGGCCGGCGGCCCAGGACATGCGACGTGCTACCGGGAGTGTTTGTAGGTCTGAATTGTCTTGTAAAATGCTCACGTCAACTCGTGTGATCTCCTGAATAATAGTTATGAGGTCGCTTTTCTCGCCTACGAGGTTCCATTTCTTGTCGTAAAACTCGATTTGCTTTGAGGCTATCAGCTCTTGGAGAGTCCAGCCCCGAGAAAACCAGCGGCACTTGGGTAATTTGTCTCTGAGGTAATCGTAACGATATGTGCCCCTAAGCCCTTCAGGTATTGGACTTAGGTCTGCTAGGTAGACGTAACATATTTCGGCCGATTGATACCAGGAGTACATGGAGTTGATGGCTTCTGTCAACTCGGCGCTGCTGCTTTTGTCAATGCAGCATGTGTCGACCCATGCGTACTTGAATTTGGAGCGGGCAAGCTTGCAGGTCATCCTGATTTTGTTCCATCCTGTTTTCGTCTTTGCACTGTTCAGATTCGACATGTGGTGAAATTCGACTTCTTGGTTGCCCCAGGTGTGGGAGAGAATGGCGTACGAGCGTGTGCCATTTTGTCGATGATCCGCAACGCGATGCAGTGTTGTTTTCTGTGTGTCGATCAGCCACATGGCCAAGGCTGTGCACCAAAGGCCCAGAGTAGTACGAGAGGAATGCCCCAATGCTAGTAGGTATGTTGAACGTTCTGAGAAGGATGGATCATGCGTCGTTTGTGCGATCTCGTCAAGCAAGGTAAGCAAGGCTGGCGACTAAGTCCAGATACGGAGGCGTGACCACCTATCACGTCGCGGCCCCTCATCTCCTGCATTCTCATGCATGACTTAGGACCAATACAGATGCCGGTTCACATATCAGAGGTTATCCCAGCTTCTTCATCCGCAGCTCCAGAGACAGCAATTCGGGTCACTATGAAACGACGATCGTTGAAATGCAGGACCTGTCAATTTGTTCAGCGTCACGGCCTGCGATGAGTACAGTGACGGAAATTTTCAGTGCATTCCTTACAATTTTTATGTACATCCCAAAACCAGCTACGCCATTGAAACTCCGCTCAGGAGGGTTGCCGTTGTCGTCCCGAGTCTCGAAAATCGTGTCAATCGATGAAAGCCTCTCGCAGTGACACTTGCCATGATTGGGATGCATCCGTGTCGCAACGTCCCCATGCGCCGCCATCCAAATAGTTCAATGCCAGTCCATTACTTGACTACGATGCTGGGGGCACGTAGGCGTATCTCGGTATTTGCGCCATGCGCTCCTCAGGGCTGACCTCTGTGTCTGCATAGAACATTCTGCCGTTCTTATCCTTCTTCGACTTCTTGTCGCCTGCGGCCTCATCACCGGCTTCATCTTCGGGCTTCTTGGCTGGCTTGATACCGGACTCGGCTCTGCGAATGAGCTCGTCGATTTCGTCTCCGTGTTGTGCCGCTCCAGAAACCAGCTCATCGACAGTGGATGCTCCTGGGAAGCCAGGCGGCGGTGCGCCAGAGCCATTCCAGAACTGGCCGCCATGTTGGGGCGGTCGTTGAGGTAGACCGGGCATCGCTTGAAGGCCACTCGTCGGTCTCGCGGGAAGAGATGATGCAGAGAAACCGCCAAAGTTGCCTTGCGGATAGCCCTGTTGAGGGTAGGCCGGAGCGCCAGGGGCAGCACCAGGCGGGTAGTTCGGATCGGGAGCCGCACCGTAAGGCGCTTGAGGCGGCGGGTACGGAGAGTTGTTCTGTGACGGATGATTAGCCCAAAGCCACACATGTATAACATTTTCGGTGTATGGATACTTACAAATGCACCCGGGCTGGCGCTCGCAGGGGCGCCATTGGCAGGGCTGCCACTAGTAGCGGGAGGATGCCCGGCGGCCAGTCGTGCGCGATGCTCGGCAAGGCGGGCCTTCAACTCTTCGGGAGTCTCAACCTTGAGTTTCTTCCTCGGCTGTTTCGACTGGCCAGGTAAGGGGTTGCCGGTGGCGATCCTGCGGTCCTCTTGGGCCTGATAGAAGTTCTGGATGATGCGGTTCCTGTGCTGGTCCAAAATATCCTGGGGAATACCCTCCATGCCGAAGATCTCCACATCGAGGCCTTGTCGATTCGGTAGCGCATTCTCGACTTGGGTGAGAGTTTCCTTGTGAACTTGGTTCAGATGGACGGATAGACCTGCGCGACACGAGACATTAGCGTACGATTCCACAGAGGACAGCGTGCGTGGTGGACTAACCTCCAGCGGTATTGAGTCGGCGACCGCATCTGTCGCACTTGAAGTGCTTGGCTTTCTGATGAGAGATGAGAAGCTTCAGATCTTCAAAATCACGCTCGCCTGCAAACAAGTCAGCACACGCGCTCAAATCCGAGACGCGAAAGGCAATGAATTCATACAGTAATAGCACCAAGGCCGGGAGAGGACGTCCTCGACGTCGGGGTGTCCGCGCTTCTTCTTGCCCATCGCGACGGTTGTTACTCCAGATTTATTCGGAGACGATAATGCTGTCGTAGTCGCGATTTCGTAGTTGTCTGGTGAGGATAGAGCGAGGTGGAATGCGGCGAAGAAGGGTGACGTTCACAGAGAGGTACCGTGGCAGTCTGGCGAAGGGATTGACGCGAGCTTGCTCGACCAGCAATTCACTGCACCTGCGCCGAGTTGAGAGCAATTGAGCGCTAACCCGGATGTAGACTAGTGTATTTCATGATCTCTCATTGGTTCTATCATTCAAAGACTCCACCCAGTCTGGATGACCCGATAGAAGTATAAACACTGTAAGTCCACACAGTACGTACCTCTCGGCCCCGGCTTGTCCCAAACGGCGGCCGAATCGACGATCCTCGCATCAATCAGCTCAGTCATCTTACAACGACAAGCCATGAACTCACCACGCACATCCACCCAAGAGACTTTTCAGTACGGCATATGAGACCCTGAGCACCAGTAATTCCAGGTCATACGGTCTCTGCCTTGAGCCTGATTTGAGTTTGGATTGAAATACCACCAACTGAAAACACCGTATTCCTGTGTCAAACCTCGAACTGCCCACTTCCGGAATTCCTACCACTTGAGGAAGACATTGAGGATTCGATGCGGTTTCTTAACAACATCACGACAAATTTGCCAAATAATCCACGATACGATGTCGCGGCGCATGCCAGATGAGCTCTGGGTGTATATCCTATCACATCTGTCAACCTTCAAATGCCTTAGAGATGCAGCCCTCACTTCTCCAACTTGGCTCCGATGCGCCTCGTCAGCATGTCGGCAGGTGGTCCTGAACGAAATCGGCCACCTTTCACTTCCTTATGCTGTCATGGCGCTGGAGTCCTCCAAATTTGACCCGAAAGACCTGAATCTCGTTGCCGCCTTTAGTGACGAATATCTCAAGAGACGGCCGCGTGTTCCTCCCACCATCAGCTTATCAGATGGCTTCCAACTAGCAGAATTACACCAGTGCGTCGGCCATCTGGGATCCAAGTTTCGGGACATGGCACTGCATCGTCTCATGAAAGAGCAGTGCAGTCTCGCCAACGACCGTCCTGACTGGCCTGACGCACCTTCTTCCGCTGAGAAGCCAACCGATGCCGAGTCTGCTCGTTTTCACAGAGCCCTCTATCGATTCGAGGTCTACTGCAAGCTTTTCAAAGACCCCGAAGTTGTACGATTCAACCTGGATATCGTAAACTTCCAGAGAGCGCACTTTTTTGATTACCTGTCACTTTGGGAGATTGAACAATTGGTTGCGACAAGGGATTTTCTTGCAGCGGTTGTCATTGGTCCTCGTAAGTTATCCGTCATCTCTCGAACCTACATCATGTTGAATATTGACAATTCTCCATAGCATTGCGTGCGCTCGTGGAGCTTCGTAAGATCGAGGCTCTGCAGACACACCATTGCGGCCCTAGAAATGGCGCTCAAGTTGTGTACTGGACCGCTCCAATCTTACCTCCCAATTTGGAGCGCGGCGATTGCCACATCAACCAGAACCAGGCTCGACTGCTATGCTTTGGGATCAAGTTTCTCTACAGGGTGTCAACATCACCGCCAACTCAGTTCTACCAGCTACTTCTCGCCCTCCCGCAACAGCCACGGTACGCCAGTTACAACCGGGTTGGCGAGATTTACTCATGGTTCACGGATGCTGTTGACAGATGTGTCGAAATGAGCAACTTGGAACTCCCGATCAGGAAAGCTCTGTCATCCTATACTCCGGACGAGTACAAAGAGCATGTCCGACAGTCACTGATAAGCGAGGACACCGATAAGGGCCCAGAAGAAGCCTGGTATTGGGCATATCAATCTTTTCCAGGGTCAACCTGCAATGATCCTCGGATGACGAACTGTCGTCTCTTTGGCTTGTTCTTCTGGGACTCTGCTCGGCTCAACACCATCAACTTCTTCACCCGTGTCGATGTTTGGTGGTGGCGGTGGGAAGGGGCCCGGCAACCAGACTTCGACTGGGAAATCGAAGCGACGGTTCCTCCGGCATCCTTTTGGTGACGGCAGCCTCGTGTATGCTTCCCACGACCATTGACATTCTCGAGCTACAAGGGGGGTGCGCATTAGGTCAGCGTAGGGTCACATGACTGGTGTGCCACGGTCAGTCCAGCCAGGCTTGACCTCTCGCAAGAAACAGGCCTCTCGAGATATACACGGGCGGGCATTGCACTCTTGCGCCTGCTAAAAGAAACGTCTGAATATCTGAGCCACAAGCTTGCAAATGGGGATGCGCTCAAATTGGGACATCGATACTAAGGCCATCGCTATCAGAAGCCAAGGAAGCTGGGTCAACGACCAAGAGAAGAAAGGCAGAAAAGAGAAGGCGACTGGATCTTGAACGATTCAAAGGCTCCGGACGATGGGCAGAAACATCGACTTCGACTGTAAGACGGAGTGAAACAACGAGAGACTCTGGAAAGGCAAAGAAGGAAGAAGGAAATCAAGACATGCGTCCAGCATTGCCTACCATCGTCCAGAGGGCTCAACGATATCCAGCAACCTCACGCCGGCTTCATGAGACTTTGTGAGCCATTGCACATCTCAATGAGATCAACGACGAGGAATATGGGAGAAGGCATCCAGCTTGGATGTTAGCAGGAAGAGGATCGGTCTGGTGCAGGCCCGGGCTCCGTGTCGGGGTCGGTGGCACGCAACGAGGGAAGTGGAATACTGTCCCCTGATTGGCCGCTTGGAGGAGAGAAAGCAGCCCGGGGGAGCACTCACCATATAAAGCCCTCGAGCTTCCCACCACCCTCCATCTCGCATCCCATCCTCCTCCCCTCTTCTTTCTTCCGTGTTATCAGAGAAACTTCTCCAATGGCCCAAATTCCCCTTTGACTTTCGCTTTCCATCCTAGACAGGTTCCTATATCTTGGCAGAGCCCATCTCAGACCTCTCATACTTGCCTTGGCACACACTTCCTCTGCACCGCCCCGAAGGAGATATTACAGGCCGTCATCCTCCATCACATTTCCTCATCAACTGACACACTCCATCACCCAAAAGCTTCCTCATTCATCGCCAGTTCCATCAAAAGTATCTCCGGTCCTGCTCTACAAGGCCTCGTTAAGATAGCACCATGGCTTTCTTGCCTCTCGACTTTGATACTAACCCAGACTTCACCACTGTGCCACGATCCAAGTCTCCAATGACACCAGGACGTCAGATGTGCTCAGTAATGGTGCCATCGCAGGAGAGCGCTTCCCCTCACGGTTACAGACACAGAGATGCCCTTGCCGGGCCACGTGATCGACGTTCTCCAGCGTCCCCGATACAGACGTCGATGCGGGCGTATTGCCCTGCCGACTACAGAGGCAGCGTCGTGTCCAATCCTCTAAGTGATGAGCAGCTGTACATCATACCGCCGTCTCCGCGCTCAAGGCACCAGTCTTCGTCATACCGACGAAGCCCTGGACCCGTCTCGCAGAGACGGAGACGCAGCCCGGATCATGACAGCCTTGTTGCAATGGGATCATGGACTAGCCAAAGCACCCACAATCAAGAGCCATGTACAAGATCCGGACGTGAAAAAGGCAGCAGCAGCAGCTTCCACGACGGCGACTTTTCAGCCAAGTATGCGCCATACGATGACTTTATCCTCTTCCCCGATGATGCTGGAGAATACATTCACGAGGACTTCACAGTCCCCGCCCACTCATCGTCAGCGCTTGGGGCTCCCCGCATTACCAGGCTCCGCACACCAGACCTGGCGCCGCTGTCGACAGATGTCCAATTCTTCCCCTGCCTCGGCGATGAATCTGAGCGAGACAGGATTAATGAGGCCTGGTACATTGCCGGTCGGGAGAGGGTTGAGTCTCAATGTCAGTGCTCTTTTCCCAAGCTCACGATGACACATCGTGATGTGCTGTTTCGTGAAGCTCAATTGCTGACTTTGACGCAGTGGATGATGCCTTGGCTTACATGGCGGCTGTAGAGGGACGCAGTCGCACGGGGAGAGGGTGAGAGCCACCCTGGAGGGATCCTTGGATCATTTCGTGATGAAATCAGATGCGATAGTCGTCTTTTGATTAAGATTGGTCGAGATGGCTGGTCCATGTATGGCTGTTTCTGAATTGATGTCCTGGTGTATGGCGTTGGGGCAAGGCGTTCGTCCAGATCGAATGGACAGGTTGACAGGCAACCCATAATCTGTGATGTTTTATACAATCAAAAGGGAACTCTCAATGAATCTGACTCTTGTCTTCTTGAACCGAGGTGTTTGTGTTTGAACTGATTGAAGCCATCGTCAATCAAGATGTAGAGAATCCTGGTGTTACAAGACAACGACAGGGAGGCCGCCGGATCTCAGCAGGCACAGTAAGGCAAGGCAAGGCCATGAAGGTATAAGTGAGATTCAAAATGAAAAGCACGTATCGTGCCTGTAGTCCTTGTCCATCAACGAGAACGGGAATGAAAGTGGGAGCCAAAGTGAAGACGAAAACCTCGCAGAACCACTTACACGGGCTGGACCCGAAGAACGACGAGTTCGGGGGAGGGCGAAGGGACGTTGGGACGTAAAAGTTGGGGGGGAGGGAGTGACGTTGAGTGAGAGCGGCCGGGGGACCCTGCAGAGGCCTTACGTAAGATACCTGCTGACTAACAAGGTTCCATGCTCACCGAAGGCACCCGTGCTCACCGAGCTGCCTTCACCTTGCTGGTGCGGACCTTGGGAGCAGGACGATGCCTCACGATACTCGATATGCTAATGTACCGGTATCTAAGAAATCAAGACAGAAGAACACGTTCCCCAGTAGAATAGACATTGAGGAATCTTTTAATGAGATACACTTGCAAAAAAGATCAATATTGAGCGAATGGAGATTTATTCGATTATTTTAGCACTCTTCGCAAAGGAAGATATTGTAGTTCAAACTCACGAACCAACTACTTGCCCATTGTGACTCTGAGTTAATCGAAAACTCGTAACCATTTCGAACATTTGGTTCGCGATTGGACGATAGTCTGGAGGATTCATGACTTGGTTCACGATAAACTAGATTTAACTAAATGTTTCTCATTCGAATTTCTAATTTCATTAGGGGTATCATCTCCAATAACTCGACTGCTCGGCTCAAGCAAAATCTCTCTTTCCCGCTCTAAGCCTCTTGCAAGGTGGCTGTTCAGCTCCGGCGGTCCTTGTCAGGGAAGAAAGTGATCCTTGACATGTAGCGAGGACCAGGAGGGTTCCTCACCACAAGGTTTGCTCGAACGCCAACGTTGGGCTCTATCCGGGATCGCAAGGCCAGAGCAGTAGGGACCGGCAAGCCCCAGACCGAGTAGCCTCTTTTCATGCTGTCCTTGACACAGTCCCGTAGGACGCTGGTGAAATTTTCAGCTGACGGATGGCGCACAATTCCCATTTCGTTGAAGAAATGGGGGAAATTGTCGATGTCATGAAGGCGGCGGACTTCGGTGGATAGCTGGAGAGCGGCACCAGCAGGGGGTGCGCCATGACGGTCGAAGAGCTCGTCCCGGATTTGCTCCAAGGTTTTTCCGTTGGAAGGTCTGGCGATGCGGCGGAAGAGCTCCGAAAACATGAGGAGTCGGTATGAGGTGCGATTCGCCTCAAAGGTTCTCTTCAAACGATACCCCGAGACGTAATCCGGCTCGAGATAGCTCAACTCCGGCATATTGGAGCCCCTCCTGTCGAGCATCCAGACGACGTTGCGCGTGATGGCTTCGGTGATGATCGCTTTTCTCATAGCCTCCGTCATATCAAAGTCGCTGATGAGGAGGTAGACCAGGAGGTGACCAAGATTCGGACAAGATATCTTTGAGGTCTTACCACCCATAAATCTCTTGATCTTGTTATTGGCGTCGGTGACCAGCTTGGGATCCGCCGTCGCCAGGCAGAGCAGAAGGTGAAATAGATGGAAGTAAGACTCGATCGCCTTCTCTGACGCGTGCCGCAACGTACTCATCTGTGGAATCCTGACATTATCGTTGCCTCTGTATGCTGCGCCGCTAGATGATGTGTGTGCATCTACTTGATTGAGCCGCACAACAATGTCGTTCATGAAGGCGGCGAGAACTCCCACTGCAGAGTTGTTGGCGCTCGGTAACGAGATAGCCACGGCTAGACTATGCATCACGGGTGTAACATAGTCTTTGACGGAGCTCCAGTGACGGCGGCTCAGAGGCAGCGGAAGCCAGTGTTCGAAGGCGACATTGTGGACGGAGAAGCGGACTCCCAGGTCCTGAAATGCCGGCAGAGAGATGAGGTCAAACTCTGATTCTATAGCCCGCTTGCGTTTGGGGACCATGACGCCTACACCGAGCTTCGTATCTCGGAAGTTGGTTTTGGTCACAAAGCATTGGAGTTCTCTCAATCGGATAACATCATATCCGCGAAGTATGTCTGCAATCCGCGGCCAAGCCCGTGAAAAGGAGAGGAGATCCGCGAAGTCGAGACTGTGGAGAGTTTCTAGCAGAAGCTCGTCAGGCAAAGCGGCCAAGACACATCCCTGGTGGTCTTTGGAGGCAGCCGCTATAGTCGCAGCACTTGACGAGGATGATGATGATGATGGCGTCGGCGACAAGGCTTTCAGGGCGTGCCTTCGAGCTCTTCTAAAGTCTGCCTTGCTCTTGGTTCCATCAAAATTGCAGTGAGGACATTTGAAGTCCTGCCGGCATTTGAGGCTCTCTTGCCGATACCACTCAAGAGGCTCGGTGTAAAATCCGCCCTCCTGCTCCAACGAATCGCTGCTGAAAAAGCTCAGCATTTGAATGGAAATGCCCTTGAGGGTATACGCCGGTGTGTATCCCTCAAACGTATTGAGGATCGATGCGCAGATATAGGTGTCAAAAACGTTGGGATGCACCATTCGCGTGTTCATCTTGATGGTGGGAGCGACGAGAGGATAGCGGTCTCCGAAGTTGACGGTGGTGTGCATGGGCATCCAGCCCTCTGGCTGCAGAACAAGGCATGCCCGGCGAACATCGTTTTCTCTGGTATGTAATGCAACGCGAGGGTAGGGGTTTCGCTGTAACTCGGCAAAGTC